AAAAAGGGAAAAAAACTGTTGGATATTACCTGTGTTGCAGAAAACTATGGATTAAAATGATACAGTAATATATCATCATTACTGTATGGCTACACCACTGCTTGTTGACCTGGGAGGATTCCGCCCCTCAGAAGACATTGCCCAATGTCTGGAGATAGTTTTGATTGACATGATGAGGGATGAGAAGGAAGAGGTAGGGGCTGCACTGGCATCTAGTGGGTAAAGGCCAAGGATGTCACTAACCATTTTATAATGAAAGGGACAGACCCCACAACAAAGAATTAACCAACCCCAAACGTTAATAGTGCCAAAGTTGAGAAACCCTGGGCTTTCTCTCTTACCCATTGTTAAGGAGAAATCCCAGGGCATCTTAGAGTTCTTATTTGCTGTGCTGCCTGTGAGATTGCCCCCATTTATTTAACAATATGAGTAAACTTAGATTTAGGACAACGCTTGGTGCTGAACTATACTTGATATTTGAGTGTTTGCTATGTGCCATAAACTTTTCTAAATGCCCTTTACATATATTAGTTATCAAAACAACCCTCTCCTGGGTAGGGACATTATCCCCCTTCTTCAGATAAGGAAACTGAGGCACAAAGAATAGTGTTCCAAGTTTACACAGTTACATATAGCAGAGTTGGGATTAAGACCCCAAAAGCTTGACTTCATAGCCTACAGTCTTGTCTTAGGTTTTTAAGTTTTAGTGAGTTGTGTTTCAAACATTCTGGGAACCAGGTATAATCGCAGTGTTACAGTAGGAACCCCAACATAAAATCGTACCTCATTTCCCTGTTGATCCAGATCTTGCTCTTCCTGTTCCAAACATAAAATAAAAAATGTCAGCTATAATGTAAAATGAAATTCCACACCATTAAGCCATAAGGAGAAAGAAACAGTGACATACCCAGACTGTCATTTTGGACCCACAGGATAGGGGCCTCAAGGTCATATTCTTCAGTATCCTAAGACTCTGAAGTGGATTCGTATGTGTGTTTATGTGTGTGTGTTTATTACTTAAGAAAGTACTGTTGTTCAAGAGAAGAAGGGTGGTTCTCTGAAGCAGAGGAGGAGGGAACCCAAACTTTCACATAAAGTATATGGTAAAGCAGCAAAAGTTACAGGCACAATTTAAAATGACAACTAAGATTGATATGTTTGCCAGGAGAAAAGCAAATGGAGGATTCTGGACAAAACAACTTTTTTTTTTTTTTTTTTTTTTTTTTTTTTGAGACAGAGTCTCAGTCTATCACCCAGTCTGGAGGACAGTGGTACGATCTCAGCTTACAGCAACCTCCACCTCCTGGGTTCAAGTGATTCTCCTGCCGGAGCCTCCCAGGTAACTGGGATTACAGAACGTGCCACCACACCCGGCTAATTTTTGTACTTTTTGGTCAGGCTGGTCTCAAACTCCTGACCTTGTGATCCACCTATCTCAGTCTCCTAAAGTGTTGGGATTACAGGCATGAGCCACCATGCCCGACCAGAACTTTTATTTTTAAATATCTATTCAACAGTTTTGGAAAAATTTTTCCCATATCCCATAAAATATGCTTAATTTTGTTTGCTTACACAAGAAAAATCTATCTGGAGATAACCTTCTATCTCTGTCTGTTCAGACTACTATAACAAAATACCTTAGTCTGTATAATTTATAAACAACAGAAGTTTTACTTCTTATAGTTCTGGAGACTGGGAAGTCCAGCGTCAAGGCACCAGCAGATTCAATGTCTGACCAGGGCTCGCCCCAAAAATGGCACCTTAGGCTAGGTGTGGTGGCTCACACCTGTAATCCCAGCACTTTGGGAGGCTGAGGTGGGAAGACCCCTTGAGCCCAGGAGTTCGAGACCAGTCTGGGCAACGCAGGGAAACCCCTTCTTAAAAAAAGAAGGCACCGGCCGGGTGCATTGGCTCACACCTATAATCCCAGCAATTTGGGAGGCTGAGGCAGGCGGATCACAAGGTCAGGAGTTTGAAACCAGCCTTGCCAATATGATGAAACCTCGTCTCTACTAAAAATAAAAAAATCAGTCAGATGTGGTGGCACACCTGTAGTCCCAGCTACTTGGGAGGCAGAAGAATTACTTGAACCTGGGAGGCTGAGGTTGCAGTGAGTGGAGATGGCGCCACTACATTCCAGCCTGGGTGACAGAGCAAAACTCCGTCTAAAAAAAAAAAAAAAAAAAAGATGGCACTTTATTGCGGTGTCCTCACACAACAAAAGGGCACTTATCTCATTCATGACAGAAGAGCCCTCGTGACTTAGTAGCTTCCTAATGGCCCAACCTCTTAATACTAACATATTGGGTAGTTGGGTTCCCATATATGAATTCTCAGGGGATACCAACATTTAGACCATAGCACCTACACATGAAACAGTATTAATAATTAACACCTCTAGTGAGTAACTATGAGTCTATGATTTACAGAATATAAGAATAATGTAAAAATTTTAGGAGCCAAAATGAGTTTTAGTATTGCTACACAACAACACTGTTCAGCAGGGAAAAAAACAAAATAGTAATACGGAATCCCTGTAAGTATTACCTGCACTAAACTGAGCACACAATTATAACTCAAGTTTTAACTACATAAAAAAATACTGGTGACAGGCAGAGTGCGGTGGCTCATGCCTATAATCCCAGCACTTTGGGAGGCTGAGACCGGCGGATCACAAGGTCAAGAGATTGAGACCATCCTGGCCAACATGGTGAAACCCTGTCTCTACTAAAAATACAAAAATTAGCCAGGTGTGGTAGTGCACGCCTGTAGTCCCAGCTACTCAGAAGGCTGAAGTAAGAGAATCACTTGAACCCGGGAGGTGGAGATTTCAGTGAGCTGAGATTGCACCACTGCACTCCAGCCTGGCGACAGAAAGGCTCTGTCTCCAAAAAAAAAAAAAAAAAAAATGGCTGGTGATGAAAGTAAACATTTTTTATTCATTCTCCATGTTAAACCAAGTTATTAAAAAATAAACAGCCTGGGCATGGTGGCTCACACCTATAATCCCAACACTTTGGAAGGCCAAGGCAGGTGTATCACCTGAGATCAGGAGTTGAAGACCAGCCTAGCCAACATGGTGAAATCCCATCTCTACTAAATATACAAAAATTAGCCAGACGTGATGGTGCATGCCTGTAATCTCAGCTACTTGGAAGGCTGAGGCAGAAAAATCACTTGAATTCAGGAGGCGGAGGTTGAAGTGAGCCCAGATTATGCCGCTGCACACCAGCTTGGGGGACAGAGTGCCTTTAAAAAAAAAAAAGTTTCTGCCAAAAAAAAAAAATTCACCAGGCGTGGTGGCTCACAGCTGTAATCTGGCACTTTGGGAGGCTGAGGTGGGCGAATCACTTGAGGTCAGGAGTTCAGGACCAGCTTGGCCAACACAGCAAAACCCCGTTTCTACTAAAAATACAAAAAAAATTAGCTGGCCGGGCGCGGTGGCTCAAGCCTGTAATCCCAGCACTTTGGGAGGCTGAGGCGGGTGGATCACGAGGTCAAGAGATCGAAACCATCCTGGTCAACATGGTGAAACCCTGTCTCTACTAAAACTACAAAAAATTAGCTGGGCATGGTGGTGCGTGCCTGTAATCCCAGCTACTCAGGAGGCTGAGGCAGGAGAATTGCCTGAACCCAGGAGGCGG